TGGCTGCAGACATTCGCCTGATTGGGACTTTTTTTCAATATTAAGTGCACAAAGTTCAGTCTTCCTGAGGACACATCAGGTAAATCTTCAAAGGGAACAGGGTACTTTATAACCCCATTCATATCACCCTAACTACATTGTTTTACTTTCTTAACAATAAAATGAAAACATGATTTAAGGAACTGCCTATTTTCTTTTTGATTTTAACTTAACAGATTATAAAAATGTTGAGGCGTTGGGCAGCTACATATTTATATGACCGTCACCTTTACTGTAGGGATATTTATAACAAAATGGACCCTATAACATAACTGCCCTCTTTCATTTTCATTGAAAAATATGAAATATACCCTCTGTTTTGCTGAATAATAGTAATAGTCAATAATGGTCTTTATAAAAGTATAACGTACAATAAGTTTATATCTTAGGTAATAAAGGCAAGCAATCAGTCAATATTCTAAATGTACATGGTTAAAATAGGTCAGCCGAAACACATTACACATATAAGTAATAGATTCAAAAGACCAAAGAGTTGTTGGATACAAGATGATTTAAATAATATGTTTAACAACTATAATGAGATGAAATCCAGTGGAAAATTCTTGATGTACTGTCCGATGTGCGTTGCTCTCACCTGAGGCTCAGATGTCCACATACACAGCAGTAAAGTGTGTGTGTGGTCATTTGATATGCATTTTCAGCAGTACAGTGTAGACGGAGATCTGTTCAGAAACACTAGGTGAAACGCCAGTGTGGACATAGATGGTTTTCGCTCTAAAACACTGTTTAAAAACTAAAGCTTATTAGATTAAACAGGCCTAAGAGAAGTTGTGCCTTAACATGTAATTAAATTTAGTATGACCTATTTTGTTTTACTAAATATGTGTCAGAAAGAAGTATGATTTGATATTTTTACTTTGTTATAACTTATGCTGATTGACGATAGAACAATAATGTAATCATAATTTTACATTTTATTTTCACAAAAGTATATTTTCTGTTAACTACCCCTTTGTTATTTTTACTGCAATGGCACACTGTAAAACAAAACGTTCAATATTAATTGATGTAAAAGAAGCCAATGACTGGCATTTCTAGCCAGTTTATCTGTTTCTAGAATGCCATCTCATCGCAATGTACAGCATTTCAGTCATTAACCCCTGTAGCATATATATCTCACAGTGCTTTGGTGCTCTAGAAGGCAGACATTCCCTGACAGAGCTTTAATGTGCTGCTCTCCAGTTTCACTCGCCTAATTATTATGCCTTTGAGAGCAGAAGCTGGTTTAGGTTAAAACAATATTATTCCAGCATGGCTAAATGGTTAACCAGTCTGTTAGACAGGTAAAGTTTTAATAAATCTAAGCTCTCGTCTACCATTTCCAGTTTCTCACTGTTTCTCTTTAAGAGCAATAGTGCATTTGTCATTTTCATTTTGTGCTCTAACTACTATATGATTTAGATGACAGTATACTATCTGATGTTGACTTGGCTATGGTGGAGTAACAGCCTGTCTATTGTAAATAAAACAAGTTTACAGTAACTCGTTATAATTAGTGGAGCAGGATGAGGAATCTTTAAATCAGTGATTCTTAAAGGGTCATCAGCAGAAAAGAGAGGGAAAAAGTAAACAGCCAATGGAGGCAGGACTTTGTTTTAACCACTTTTAATTAGTTAACTTTATTTGCCCCTGTAGGGAAATTTCATTTGCAGCATACACTCACAGAGACAACTGACATTTCACAATTGGCATTTATGTACAGAATTCATATAAAACACGGTACCCCTACTCTAAATAAATATCTAGTCCACTGGCCATTGACTGCTACTGAGAGAGGAGGAATTTATAAACCTAATTGCTAGAGGTATAAATTATCATTTTGTCCTATTTCTTACACATCCAGGAACACAATATCGACGACCTAATGGTAACAATTGGAAGTTGTATGATAAAGGATGTCTCTCATCATTGACAATCATGATAGCCTTTAGTACTTTAGGTTTTTTTTTCTTCTTTTTTGTATATACTGTCAATGCTCTTTAGTTTTATTCCCAACATCATACTGGCTATTCTTACCACCTTCCCCAGTGACCTCTTCTGGGCCTCAGAAGCATTTCCATACCAATAGATTACACAAAATGTTGCAATACTTTCAATGAAAGCACTATAAAACATGATCAACAATGTGTTGTCAACATTAAAAGACAGTAGTTTCTGTTTTCCTTATACAGTCTTTATACATTTTATTGTCCAGCAAATTGTCTAACTAAATTTGCTCCCCATTAATTAATGTGGGATGAGTTTTCCTTCTTAGCTCTCTCTAAAATCAATAACCATCTCATTAGTTTTAGGAATAATAAGGAGAAGGTTTGAATTTTCACACCAGTCTAAAAAGAACAGGCCCGTGTTCTTCCTCCTCTTCATTTAAAAGGCTCAACAAAGCGGTATCATCATACTTTACAATATATCTTTTTTTCAATAAACTCATACAAGAATTTGTATATGAAATAAATAAAAATGAAGATAAAACAACTGAAGTATATATTTTATCTGAAATAAAACCTCCCATTTTAACCTTTTGGATTCTAGAGCTAAGACAATTGGTCACCCAGGCAATCAATTTATTGTCTAAAGAAATTTTTCAAAAGTGTAGCAGCTTATATGTTAGTATACAATTATCTAATTTGCTAGATACAATTTAAAGCCGATGAGAAATCCAGAAAGAACATTGTATTTGTAATTTGTAATTGCATAATGAACTTATTACAGTAAAATGGAATGGAATTATGCTAGCCAAAGCTGCATAGTTTTGTATCTGATAAGTGTCAGTATTTATATATTTTTAAAATCTGATTCAGTTACAACATTTTTTTTACATTAAATTAGAAATGATGATCGCTGTAAAATACCCCAGCCCTGCCTATCATTTTTATTTTCTTCTCAGATGGGTTAAGGAGCCAAATCATGGGTTTTCATGGGCCAACTTTGGCCCGTGGCCCCTAGGTTGGGCATTTCTGCTCTGGATGGGTAATATGCAAATTGCAAAGGATCTATAACCAAAGTCGCTTTAAGGCAAGTCATTTCTCTCGGCGGCCATCTTTGAAATGCCTCTTTGTATGCTTGGGCATTCTGGTTGAATGGGAAAACAAGAAATTCTCCAAAACTGCTTGCCAAGCTTACGATTGAATTTCATATTAGGAATCACCAACAAAATTAAGTAACAGCAACTGTCCCTTTAGTTTAATTTCTAAACGTCCAAATCACACAAAATCAGCAGAAACTCGCGTCTGGTCAGAGCCCCTTCCCCAGAGTATCGTCAGTCTATAGCGATAGATAGTTGGCTCCTGTACTAGTAGGCAGGGCTTTATTTGCCATATTGACAGTACACTTTTCCCCATTCAAAAAGATATGAGTGAAATGTCTTGTGTAATCTATAGTCTTTGCTATAACATAGGTCTCAAACTCAATTCCTGGAGGGCTGCAGCTCTGAACAGTTTTGCTCCAACCCTATCAAACACAGCTGATTCAAATAATTGAGGTGTTCAAAAGAGTCATGAACGCCTTCATTATTTAGATCAGCTGTGTTTGATAGGGTTGTAGCAAAACTGCAGAGCTGCGGCCCTCCAGGAATTGAGTTTGAGACCTATGATCTATAAGGTGCTGTGTTTTAGAAAATATACTTAACTAAATGTTCAAAGCCCTTTTGACAACTTTAAGGATGAGGGAGTGTCTGTGGGCATGTATTGACTGCCTTTCTCTGATCTTTAAATCTAATTATGCGAAATCTATTTAATTGTCAATTTGCATGTTTTACAAAAAAAAAGAAAGAAAGAAAAATAAATGTATTATAGGTAGATCAATTAAGCATGCTTTATGCTTAGGCTTCTTTATGCCTTGACTAATTTTTACTTCACTTTTATGTCCAATCACCTCTGTAAGTATTAGGCCTAGACACTTCATTCCATTTTTTTACTTTATTTATAGGTTTTATTAAAAAAAAAAAAAAAAAAAAACATTACACCAATAGTGTACCTCAAGTATATATGTTAACTAAATTATCTTTGTGTTATTCTCTGATACTAATTGGAACATACACTAAAACACTAGCAGACACTACAGCAATTATACAGCACCATTAAAAAAAAAATCTCAGCCAGACTAATGGAATAAGAAACAAAATAGAATGACATGTAAAAAAGAGGTAAAGAAAAAAAACATTACCAAAAACATTAATTAGAGAAACATTATTAACCTATACATCTAGGGAAAGGGCCCCATATTTTGTCATACAGCTTCTGTTTGCTAAATCTAGAGAAATGTAGCCTTTCCAGCTTGAGGGCAGAAACCATTTCAGCTAACCATTTAAAAAAAAAAGTGGAGGTGTTGTGGATTTTCACTCCATCAGAATCACTCTCTTGGCCAGCACCATACCAAACATAAGAGAAAGCTGTTGATGTTTAGGCCAAATAAGAGCCTGGTCTGAACATTCAAACAGTGCTAATTCCGCATCAATTTTAATGTCCATTTCAAAAGCCTGGGAATAGTCCAAAATTCAGATACTTCTGGAAAGGACCAGAATGTATGACCATAGGCGACTGCGTCATCGCATCTATCACACAGAGGAGAGATAGAAGGATGTTTAACAGTTTTAACATTTACAAATACTTCATTGTTATAAATATCTTTTTATATAGATTTTTAACGGGAGCGTGACCAAAAAAGGGTTACTTAAGAAACAGTTCTTTAAACTTTATTTAGATGTTTTTGAATGTACACACAGTAGCAATTGGTGAAACACAATGTCATTCTACATTTAGGATTCATCTGTGCAGCGACAAATGTCTAAACTATATCAGTACTTGATTTGATCTGCTCATACTAGACTATTTCTAGCAATTTATTGTGTTAAAAAAGAAAGAGACACATTTCTTCTGTTTTATACCCAGTAACAATATTTAACAGAGATGTTGATGGTTTGTTTTTATGTGTGCTTTGAACAGAATTGACCGGAAGATGTCCAGCAGTCAGACCAACTACAAGTTAGATGAAGCACAGGCCATCTTCAGTGAGCTCCGCAGCATTAAGAAGGCCATCAGCACTGGCGAGAAGGAGAGGCAGGACCTCATCCAGGTCAGACAGACATCATAAAAGCATGTTATTCATAGGGTTTCCCTTCAAAGAGAAAATATTTGTTTTTTTATTGTTATTATCATAATTTTTTTAGATTAATTAATAGATTTATTTCACTTAACAAAGTGCTGGTTAATTTCAACCTAATTCTAGGTGTAATAGGATTTTTTAAATTCAATTGATATAATCAAATGTTATCTAATTTGGATTTTAATTATCCAGCATTTCTTATTTTCAGTGTTGTTTACTTAATTTTTGTGCACATATATAATAAAATAAGGTCTATAAGGTAATTTTGCAAACAATATAACATTTTATTTTTACTGTGGCACATCATTTCAACTGATTTAGTACTTAAATTATAAATGAAATATATATGCATTTAAATCAATACCAAGGTAACGGAGTTACAGAAGAAGAAGTAACTTTTTTTATTATGATTCTATAACTTTCAGTTTTAATAATTTGACTTGGTTTTCATTTTTATTAATATATATTTTTTATTTTTTTATTATCATTTACTTACTCTTTTTGTTTTATTATAGTTTGATATCAGTTTTCAAATGATATATATATATATATATATATATATATATATATATATATATATATATATATATATATATATATATATATATATATTTCTTTGTTATTTTGATTCATTTTTTGTTCTTTAAAAGTGATTGTAAGTTTAAAGTACAATGCGTTAAAAGTTCTGGGAAATTTTTTTTTCATATACATACACACACACACACACACACACACACACACACACACACACACACACACACACACACACACACACACACACACACACACACACACACACACACACACACACATATTTATATATATATATATATATATATATATATATATATATATATATATATGAAGGTGGAGAATTTTGGCAGTTTTAAAACCTTGACTTTTCCACGGTACAAATATCTAGTTAAATATTATTTAATGTCATCATGGCAAAGATTAATGAAATCGGTTATTAGAAATGAGTTAGTAAAATTATTATGTTAGGAATTTGTTGAAAAAAATCTGCTCTTCGTTAAACAGAAATTGGAGAAAAAGTAAACAGGAGGGCTAATAATTCTGGAGGCTAATAATTCTGACTTCAACTATATATATAAGTACACCCCTCACAAGTTTGTCTTTTAAACTCATATTGTTAAAAGAGAGCTATACAATATTATATTTGTGCATATACATTAGAATAATCAGTACTGAAGGCAAATCTGGAGCTAATCTGGCAAAATAACTAACGATAACTGTCCAAAAACTAGTACACCCAAAATTATTTTATAGAAAAAAAGTAAATACAAATTTTAAAAAGAGGAAAAATCAAGAAAACCAAAAATCTTTTTTTTTTTTTTACAAATTTAGTTAAAATTACAGTAGGCTGTTTTTTTTTTTTTTTTTTTTTTTTTTTGCAATATTTTGCTTGAATTTGATTGTATTATCTTTCAATTTCTAGTTATGTTTGGTGACTAAAATATTATTTGAATAAATATATCTGTTTAATAAAGCTGTTTTGTTTAAATGCACAAAATACATTGCCTATGTTCACTAAGAAATGGATACAAATATTAAATATATATATTATATACAAATATGTATAAATGTATTATTATTATTAATAGTAGTAGTAGTAATAGTAGTAGTAGTATTTATTTATTTGTAAATACATTTTATGTGAATAGATACATGTTCAAATGTTGTATTTCTGTCAAGAAAAGTTTTAGTTCCAATATTAATCCAATATCCAATATTATATCCCTCATTTATATATATAAAATTACATTTATGAACTTGCATCTCCACAGTTTTGTTGTCATTGCAATTCAGCTCTTTAAAACCCACCTTTCCAGTCAGTTCTCACAGTATCCAATAACTGTCATTCTGTTTAATCTTACATCTTTTCATGACATAGAGGTAAAATATTGTCTACATAAGTCAGTGTGTGCAGTGAGTGCACCAAAACAAACCGAATAGACTTTGATACTTCTGCTAATATACCAGCAATTTCAATGCCTTCAGGTTCCACTGAAACATCTTTTATTTTAGGAGATGCTGCCATCTAGTGCTCACCAGTATGAATAATATCACTCTGTTGTGGCCTGTTGTTTGCAGAGCCTTGCCAAGCTGACGCTGAACTTCTGTGACTCCATTAATGAGGTGACAAACAATGCAGAAAGCCTGGCTGATTCCTGCAGTGTTCAACAATACACGGACGCCGGCTGCCAGACGGACCTCATGGGAGAGGTTTCACTTCTGTTTTATTCATTACTACTCAAGATTCTATCATTTAATGTTTAATTGTACAGGCATTAATGCAAAGTGATTTGTGATCATCGTTTCTGTCGTTCAGTTTGGCAGCCAGGAGTCTTCTCTGCTAGCAGACCGAGTCAAACTCAGCTGGCAGTACGAAGAGGCCAAGAAAAAGTAAGTAGATTTAGATGCTTAAATCTTTTAATATTGAGAAACAGATTCATATGAGTTTATCAGACCCTCTTACAGTATGTTTTAGGTTAAAAGTTAGTACTGTATTAAAGGTAAGAATAAAAAAATGATGACTAGAATGAATATTTGTACTCATTCATGCACCTAAGAAATTGCACTCACCGGCAACTTCTTTAGGTACACCTGTCCAACTGCTTGTTAACACAAATTATTAATCAGCCAATCACATGGCAGCAACTTAATGCATTTAGGCATGTAGACATGGTCAAACTGAGCATCATCATGGGGAAGAAAGGTCATTTAGGTGACTGAATGTGGCAAGTTTGTTGGTGACAGACGAGCTGGTTTATCTACTGGGGTTTTCATGCACAACTAACTCTAGGGTTTACAGAGAATGGTCCGAAAAAGAGAAAATGAGACTCAAAGAACTGCCACTGAGTGGCACTTCTTTGATTGCTAATGCCTTGTGGTTGCCAGAGGTCAGAGGAGAATGGCCAGACTGGTTGAGCTGATAAAAAGGCAACAGTAACTCAAAAAAAAACTTGCTACAACCAAGGTATGCAGAAGAGCATCTCTGAGTGCACAACACGTTGAACCTTGAGGCAGATGGGCTACAGCAGCAAAAGACCACACTGGGTGCCACTCCTGTCAGCTAAGAACAGGAAACTGAGAGTACAATTTGCACAGGCTCACCAAAATTGGACAATGGAAGATTGACAAAACGTTGCCTGGTCTGATGCGTCTCGATTTCTGCTGTGACATACCGATGGCGTCAACAACATGAAAGCATGGATCCTTCTGCTTCGTATCAACGGTTCAGGCTCGTGGTGGTGGTGTAATGGTGTGGGGTATATTTTCTTTGCACAATTTGCACCCATTTGTACCAACTGAGCATCTAGTCAATGCCACAGCCTACCTGAGTATTGTTGCTGACCCTTTCCATCCATTTATGACCACAGTGTACTCATCTTCTGATGGTTACTTTCAGCGGCATAATGTGTCATGTCATAAAGTAGAATCATCTGAGAATGGTTTCTTAAACATAAAATTTTCTATACTCAAATGGCATCCACTGTCACGAGGTGTCAATCCAATAGAGCACCTTTTGGATGTGGTGGAATGGGGGATTCACATCATGGATGTGCAGCTGACAAATCTACAGCAACTGCATGATTCTATCATGTCAATATGGACCAAAATCTCTAAGGAATATTTCCAGTACCTTGTTGAATCTATGCCCGGTACTAGTAATGTGTACCTAAAATAGTGGCTGGTTAGTGTGTAAAAGGTGGTTATGTTTAAACATGTTGTTAATCTTGTTGTTCATAAATATCTGTAAAATATCTTTTGGAACTATGTTATTTATTTTGTCTGTATTTTATCTTCACTTTTTAACACACTATAAATGTGTTGTATATATTAATTTAAGGCAAGGCAAGTTTATTTATATAGCACATTTCATACACAGTGGCAATTCAAAATGCTTTACATAAACAAGAATAAAAGAAACAAGTAAAATAAAAATAAAAACGAATAATAAAAATGAGTAAAAAAAACACAAAAAAGGTAAAATGTGATATAAAAGAATGAAGAAGAAGAGAAAAACATTAACTTTAAACATTAATCTACTTTTATTTATTTGAATAAATTAATTAATTAATTTGTTTAGATTAAATTGTTTTATGTTAATTTAAAATATGTTAATGAATTTATTTGCATCAAATGTTCATTTAAACCAAATCTGCAAAATATTCTGTATTTAACCTGTTTAATTGAATAGTTTACAATTATTTCATAAAATGCACTTTTATTTTAATACATTGATTTAAATATGTTTTTGAATTATCTAATATATATATTGTTTTACATTATTTTTTTGAGAAATTAAATCAAATGTGTATAATAATAATGCTTAATATTTTTATTGATAAGAAGGAATATTATATATATATAAATAAATAAATACACATAAATATAAAATAATATAATAATTATTATAGAATAAATATATAATTTTATATATATATATATATATATATATATATATATATATATATATATATATATATATATATATATATATATATATATATGTGTGTGTGTGTGTGTGTGTATGTATGTATGTATATGTATATTATATATATATTTATATATATATATATAATATTTTAATATTTTAGTTTTAGTTATTTGAATGGTACTTTTTAATTTAGTTCATTGTAATTAAAAATTAAAATTTTTTAAAATCTTTAAATCTTTAAAAATGTATATTTATATATTATAGTATTCTAGTTCCTATATATGCATCAGGCCTATGCTATAATGCATGCTATTATACTGTATGAATTTCAACATACCTACTTTTTCTGTTTGGCCGGAGCATCACACCTCACGGTATCACCTGATTCCATCATGTGATTTGAAGGAGCAGAAGTAGTGGACTAAAGGTCTTTTATTCAGCTTTTCTGTTCTGTGATTCCTAAGAGTAGAGTCATGTGCTTCATCTGCTGCCTTTAAGGGAAACCTTGACTTTGGCATGTAATGACATTGCTGCTGCTTCCCTGATTTTAGTGGTTTGTAATGAACTTTAGTGCTGGACTGATGTGGATTGCAGTGCATTTGGAAGCTTTTCTGGGTTTTTGAAGCAATGCTGGAGTTTTTGGCTCCTGTGTTATAAAACCCCTTTACAAGATGCCAGTTTCCATGGCAACAGTGCTGGCTGTTGAGTGCCAGGTATGACATCACAGAGAGAGAGAGAGAGAGAGAGGGGAAGAGAAAAGACAGATGTGGAAACTTTCATGCTCTCTGAGTCACAATATCACTACGCCAAACTTTTTTCAAATGATAAATAGCAAATAATAATATATTATATGCTAGAAATCACTTTCTGTATAACAATACTATGTACTCATTCTAAGTTTTAATATAGAATTAGTTTTATATGTTTTATATATATATATATACATATATATATATGTATGTGTGTGTATATATGTATGTGTATGTGTGTGTATATATATATATATATATATATATATATATATATATATATATATATATATATATATATATATATATAGGCATACGATGTGCCTTAAGGGGGGCGCACACCGGATGCGCCGCTCAGTGATGCGTCGCACCACACAACGCCATGCATTTTAGAAATCTAAACCTAGATTTCTATCAGGGTACGCACACCGGCGCTGCAAGTTTGATGGCTGTCCGCCACGGCGCCCAGCTACAATCTTACAAAATTCTAATATATCTTAAATGTTTTGATTACTTAAATACCTTAAATATTACACGTTAACAGTGTTATGAAAATGTGTCATTTCAAGGTTAAGACAATCAGTATTTAAATGTTTTATTTGAGATTAATTCTGCAGACCCATAACCAGGGCCAGACAGAATCTGCGGACATTTTTTACTATTTCTGTGGAGAATTATTTAAAAGTCTACTGATGTATGTGAAATGATTTCAGGAGTATCAAAACTAAGAACTTAATATCTGAAATAAAAAATAATACCTTTTTGCATTTATTTTATGTTTACAATGCAAATCCAATGAGATCCACTTATTTGGTAAACAAAGCAAATTTCGCATATATTTACTAAAGACAGAAAGTATTACTCATAACCTGTATTGTAAATAAATCATATGAGGATTTTTATATTACTAGCATTATATCACATTAATATTAGTGAAAATGAATTTATTAATTAAAAATCTGCACACTTTTACACAAGTCAATACATGGACTCTAATGGGCTAAAATCTGCAGAAATCTGAGGATTTCTGTGCGCACAGATTCTATGTGAATACATACAAACTGTGACAAAGATTTAACACTTTTAGAGGTTAGATAATTAGCGCTTAAATGTTCGTTTTAATATTAATAATAAAAATGTATGTGTGCTATGCCAACACAATGCCAAAGTGTTAACTGTATTAAAATCTAATATAAATCGATTTTAATCTTGAAACTGCATGTCCTTGTATAAATAAAAATAGTGCCTTCTAGAATATCTTTGGAATATTTATTATTGACCAAGTTGAAAGAGCTTATTTGGCCTTTTATGTTTTTGAATAATGCTTGTTTATTAAGAAAATGTATGATTGGTAATAAATATTTAATACATCATTGTTGACATAGATATAATTAATGCTGCAAATAAGGCATAAGAAAACAAATAAATAAACAAACAAATAAATAAATAAATAAATAAATAAATAAATAAATAAATAAATAAATAAAATATGTCCTTGTATAGTCTTTGTGATCACAATCATCTCATCTTTTCTGTGATATGTTTCTCTGTGTGTTTGTGTCTGTATGTGTCTGTGTCTATCTGTCCGTTTATCTATCTTTCTGTCTGTCTCTGTGTGTCTGCCTGTTTGCACGTGTGTGTCAGGATGTCCAGTATCCAGCATCAGTTGGCTCAGCTGGATAGTGAGAGCTGGTCTGGTCGTGCCGAGGCGGATCGGGACTGGGACTGTCTGCAGCTGCTGAGGGAGAAAGAGACTCTGCTGCAGGAGCTCACTCTGCTCAGCCAACAGCAGCACTCGTCTGACACACTGCTCCAGCTGCAGGAGGAGAAGCGCCGGCTCCAGGACGAGGTGCAGAGAGCCCACAGCGCTCAGAGTCAAGGGGCCAACCAAAGGTCTGAGCTCTTCTCTAACACACACACACACATACTCATGTGTAGGACCGCACGCAGTCTGCTAACTTATTGTTGTTGTTGTTTGTAAAAACACCTGCAGATTTGTGTGAAATCAATTTAAGGGTGTAGTTATTCAGAACTTAATACATGAAATTCACTAAATGAAAACCACTAAATGTTTACTACTCTAAGTCTCCATTTACACTGCAGATCTTGATGGTCAATTCCGATTTTGTGACTGTATCCTATTTTTTTTGCTGACCCGCTTACGTCATCTTTTAAAAGTGACTCGAATCCGATCGTCTGCATTTACACAGCACACGGCAAAGGCGCAAAGATCGGTAAAAAAAGATCGGTTTTTAAACCTTTAGGCATCTTAATGTAATGTCCATGGTGTGATTTAGGCACGTGATCTATGCACTAGTTTTACATTAGTTTATATTGGTTATGTGGTGGACATTGCACTCTCTCGTTAACATGCTTAAATACCTGTTCTATATGACAATATACAAGGTGTTTTAGTCCTCGTGTGTGAGATTTAAGGTTTGGGATTCTGCTGAAGTCTGTTCTGAAATGAAAGTGTCAGACTTGACATCATTCGCTATGGTTTTAAATGACGCGCGACTCGCATTGACAGGTGAAAATCCAATCTACCTGCTTACACTGCAGACACGGGAACACAGATCCGATACATAACGGATAAATTTCCACATATGAACAAGGCCTGAATCTGATTTGAGTTAATCGGAATCCATGTGATTTGTTCCTGCTTACACGTACATGGGCCATATCCGATCTGTGCCACATGGGAGAAACAAATGGGAATTGAGTCACTTGAACAGTGCAGTGTAAATGCGGCCTAATGCCTAGTTCAGACTGCGTGATTTTAGCCCCGATTTTGGCTCGCCGACAGGTTTTGAGAAATCGCCGATAAATGCCTGAAATCACAGGCAAACTGGTGCTCGTGCACGTGAGTGACAATCACACAGTTTGCACTATCAAAGACGCGATCTGAGAGAATCGCCGAAGAGTCGCAGATGCCTGCGAGATATTTGGCGTGCTGAATATCTGGAGCTGTCGGCGATTCAAATCATGCTGTGTGTATTGAGATTTGACTGAAAATAACATCGGCGATCGCCTACAGCCAATGAGAGAGCAGCATTCACTTGTGTGTGCGTGTGTGTATACCTGCTGCAGGCCAGCGGGAGGCTGGGGGAGAAGTTAAAAGCACTCTTTTTCGGTTTATTTGGACCCACGAAATGGAGGAAAAACTAGTGGAGGTTTGACAGGACTCAGGAGCACCCGTGTCTGTTTGACGTTTCATACAGAAAGAAATTAGTTTATTAGCAACATTCAGGAGAAATGGCTAATTCCCTTTAAACCCAGGTGAGCAAACATGTACATGTTCTACCCCATTAAAGGCGTCTTTCTCATTATGTAGTTAATAACAAAAGATATACGACGTGTTTTTGGCTGTGAGACGTAGTTTTTACAAAGTTGTCGGCGATTCTTCCTATAGTAAAGTCATGCAATGTGAAAGTCCCTGTTGCCGATCCATCTTGCAGTGTAAATAAAGCAGCGACGAAACGCTAGCCCAGATAGTCATGCAGTGTGAAAACATCTCTGACACGACTACTTTTAAAATCATGCAGTCTGAACTCGGCATTAGTCTCTCTTAAAATATAGCCACTAAACAACAGAAAATTTTATTTTACAAATTGTATTGTGCATAAATCATCTAAACATCTGCATAAGCGTAATGCTATTATTGTAATTATTTAAAAACAGAATAAGTATATATTTGCACACATTTACACAAGTAAATAAATAGACTCATCAATGGACTAAAACTATGCGGAAGTCTGCAAATTTTGTTGGCACAGGTGTATATATATGTATACACACACACACACACAAACCGGTAAAAAGTTTGGGGTCAGTGTGATTTTTAAATGTTTTAAAATAAGCTAGTCCTGCTCACCAAGGCTGCATTTATTTAATCAAAAATAAAGAACAAATTGTGAAATTGTGAAATGTTGCACTATAAAAAGAACTATTCAAAAGTAGTTTATAATTTAATTTAATCATAAATTCCAGTGATTTTTAAAGATGATTGTTTTCAGCTTCATTACTCCAGTCTTAGAGTCACACGATCCTTCAGAAAACATTTTGTACAAATTATGCAAGTAATGTTTTTAGGTAATTTTATAATTACAATTGTGTAAATGTCATTTTAAAGTGCTAAATTTTAAAGGGTTATTTGAATTAACTAGAAACACTTTGTTATTTAATTTAACCCTTATTGAAAACTTATTCAATTTAACATTTTATACATTCATTTATTCATTAATTTTCTTGTCGACTTAGTTCCTTTATTAATCCTGGGTCGCCACAGCGGAATGAACCGCCTACTTATCCAGCAAGTTTTTACGCGGCGGATGCCCTTTCAGCCGCAACCCATCTCTGGGAAACATTCACACACACACACTCATACACTACGGACAATTTAGCCTACCCAGTTCACCTGTACTGCATGTCTTTGGACTGTGGGGGAAACCGGAGCACCTGGAGGAAACCCACGCGAAGGCAGGGAAAACATGCAAACTCCACACAGAAACGCCAACTGAGCTGAGGCTCGAACCAGCGACCCAGCGACCTTCTTGCTGTGAGGCGACAGCACTACCTACTGCTCCACTGCCTTGCCCACATTTTATACAAATTTACATAAATTATTCAAGCACATTTTTAGGTAAATGTAATTTTAAAACGTTAAAATAGAAAACTTTTTTGAATGTATTTTTTATTTACTTTACTCATTATTGAACATTTTTACTATTTAACCTTTTATACAAATGTATATAAATTATTCAGTTACATTTCTTTAGGTACTTTTATATAGTTACAGTTGTGTAAATGTCATTTTAAAATGTTAAACCATAAAAGGTTTTTTGAATTAACTAGAAAGGCTTTTTTATTTAATTTAACCCTAATTGAAAACTTATTCAATTTAACATTTTATACAAATATAAATAAATATGCAAGTATATTTTAGGTGCTTGTATAATTTCAATTGTGTAAAAGTAATTTTAGATTATTTCATTTCAATTAAGTAGAAAAGCTTTTTTATTTAAATTACCATTACATTTTAACCCAGGAAATGTAGTGAGGTAAGATTTCTTTGAATGTTGATTTTTCTTATTCAAAAATAGTAAATAAGCAAATTCACTATGATGAATAAAGAATTAAGCAAAAAATGTAAAAAGGTTAATATTGAAATATTTAATAAATTTGTTAGATATTTCCAAAAATTCTTCTAACTGAATTTGGAAGAAATAAAACAGGACCTCAGTTTGTCTTAGTTTGTGAGTTGTGAGGGATTTAACCATGTGAAAAATAAAAAATGTTGCACTAGCACATGGATAAAGAAAAGCACATCTCCGTTCACTCAAAACATGGTGGTAGAATTATGTGTTTGTTATCAGGAAATCTTGCCAGCAAAATGGTTTTGTAGATGCCCGCAGAGGTAAATAAAGGTGCCCTCATTTCCCATCTGAACAACTCAAATCTGCTCATTATAAGTGTCTTGTGTCTGAAACTCCAGCTGAGACATAAATGGCCATTTTTTCATATGACGTCAATGTGCATATCAGCTTTCAAATACCGCTTGTACAATTTTTCTCATGATGATATCGATGCATTTTTCTTTCCACATTTATTTTCCGCAAAACAAATCACACTCTAAGTTGCACTTAGACTACCTTGTGCTAACAACTATGATAATCTGCAGTATGTGATTCTATTAGATCTGCTAGACTTCAGTTGGTTTGTTAAAGATGTCCTTTTGACAAATCTGTATTTAAATGTGTGTATGTTGTGTAGGATTTTACTGCAGGAGAAGAGGAATGTTCTTATGAGGCAACTAGAAGAGGCCACCCGCATCACCACGTATCTACACTCTCAGCTGAAGAGGTACACACACAAACACGCGCGCGCACACACACACACACACACACACATATGCTATCATACAAAACTGAGAAGGTAAAAAAGCAGGTCTGTAGCTGTGAGTTTAATGCATTAATTAAGTGCAATTTCCATAATTATTTTAATATAAATATATATGTACACATTAACACATTATACTATTGGAGTACTTACATTCTTTTAATATGTATTATGCTTATTTAATTATTTTTATGTATATTAACTTACATTTTTTTATACTTTTGTATTTTTTAAACTGATTAAACATGTAATTATAATAATATAAATATATATAATCCTCAGAGATGGGCAGTATTTATGATACATGTATTTCAAATGCGTATTTTAAATACAAAATAGTATTTTGTCATTTGTATTTGATAGGGTTGATGAAAATGGCTTAATATTTTGAATCAAAATACTTTAGTTTTTTGTATTTTTAAAATACTGTAAAATACTTTGTAAGAAAATCATATAAGTGCACTCTCTGGTTAGTGCTTTGGATGTTATTTGCTCTCTTAGGAGAGAGTATTTTTGGATGTGTTGCTGATGCCAAATGTTTGTCGTTAAAAACAAACAACATAAAAATAAGTCCAACAGTGGCGATTCCTACAATACTTCATTGGCTGTTACAAATGCCAGATCATTAGGTCCACTGTATAGTAAATGAAGTGGAAAGATGTAAGCCTTAAGATGACACAACATTTAAAACACAAATATTTAATAATCAAAAACTCCTAATAGTTTTTACATTGATTATTGAAGAGTTCATTAGCTTTTTAATAGATTGCTGAAAATATCTGTGAACAAAACATTTCAGTTAACTCTTTATTTAACACCCTTTTAAAATAATAAGAGATTGAATGATCATTGTACAGAGATGATGGCAGTTTTACTGGCCACAATCGCTATCAAACATCGTTTACTTCACTAAGTTAGTTTGATCTAATCTAATTGATGGAAGATTTGCACTGGAATGGCTCTTTGTAAGTATTTTGTTGTATTTTTTTAAATACAAAATACTGTATTTTATTTTGATACATGTTGTAGCTGCTGTGTTTTGATGCACCTAAAATTAAGGTATTGAATATTATATTTGAATATACATTTCAATGTGTTTTTGCCCAACGTTGATATTCCGAATATATAATATAATCCTAATTCTATGCTATTTAAAAATTAATATAATTTGTATTTGTGATTTCATTGTGTAATTTGTTAGTTTAAAATTTGTACAAACCTAATTCCAGTTAATTAAAGGGAACTTATTGTCTAATATAGTCCACAATAAGAAGCAAAGTAAAATTGATTTGTGTTAAACTGATGTGTCATAGTTTGTCATACTGCTTTGGATCACAATATGTTAAAATATAGATATAATGTGAATTAATTATTAAACTTTTATATGATTTAGTTAATTACATAAATTAGTTTATACAATTGTTTTTGTGGTCACACTTTACAATAAGGTTCATTAGTTAATGTTAATTTATGCATTTACTAAGATGAACAAAATATCTACTTCTGTATTTGTTCATGTTAGTTAACGTTAGTTAATGAAAATACAGTAGCTCATTGTTAGTTCATGTTAATTCATGGTGCATTAACTAATGTTAACAAGCATGGACTTGGATGTTAATAATGCATTAGTAAATGTTCAATTATGATTAATAAATGCTGTACATTTGTTGTTCATGATTAGTTCATGTTAGTAAATGCATTAACTAATGAACCTTATTGTAAAGTGTTACCGTTTTTGTTAAATAAATAAAAGACAAGTAGATTACTTTGTACTGAAAGCCACTAATTCAGCAATAAACAACATATCAAACTATTATTAATATTATTAATATTTTAAATGCATATTGTTTTCACTTGGTTTCTTTCTCTGCAAATGTTAATGTTTACTTTATATTAGCTATGTTTCCATCCACCTATTTGTATGCGCATTTTAGATATGGATGGAAACGCCAAGATGCGCATACATTTTGAAAATGCCCATAAAAACTTATGCGCATAACTGAGTTGGATAAACTTTTTATTCGATAAGAAAAATGCGCACAAACTACGATGGAAACACTTTTACCGCACAAACACCAGCATGCACATTAAAAAAGGTCATGTGATTTTGTTATAAGAGATCATGTGGTGATAAAAATGTGTGTGAATGGATAAAACAGCAGGTTGAGCACACTGTAAACCATCTGAAATGTCATTTTGCTCATTCTAAAACGCCTTACTGTTTCAGTTTTAGTGTTATTATATTATTAATGACCTCCAGAATCAAGAGCGTCTGTGCTCTGCGTCTGACACCTTCAAACGCCACCGCGCATTCCCTGCGTGTCAGGATTGCCATCTGAGGCGCAAGTGATTTATTAGATGAAGAAAACATTGATGCAGCTTCTCCTAATACAGCAAGTTCATTTTTTTCTGTTGATATTTGGCGGCAGTTAATCAGGAAGTGATGTATTTTGTTCGCTTTGACTCGTTGGATGGAAACGCTGCTTTATTCGCGTGTCTTTTATGTGATAATCTAGTTTTGCGCATAAAGTTCATTTGCATTTTTTGATAGAAACATAGCTATCGTTTATCAACATGTCATATATTGTAATGTGATTTATATCTTTCTTAATTCAACTGACAGCACTACTCAAAACAAAACTAAATTTATTAAGACAAAAGCAGTACATCTAACCACATCAGCTTTCTCTGTGTATATGCAGCCTGTCTGCCAGTAACCTGACGGTGTCCTCCAGCAGCAGCCGTGGTTCTTTAGCCTCCAGCCGGGGCTCTCTTGCATCCAGTCGTGGTTCTCTGAGCTCTGTCAGCTTTACTGACATTTACGGCCTGCCACAGTACGACCGAACAGAAGGCAGCTCTGACGTCCTGGACCCTTCTTTCCGCTACCTGCTCCCGTTGGAGAGCCACAGTTCAGGTTCAGCCTACGGCCCGAAACGGTCCCATGACACACCGCAGTCTCTGACCTCTCTCTCCTCCCGGTCCTCGCTCTCGTCGCTCTCTCCTCCCAGTTCCCCCATGGACACCCCATACCATTCGGCTCCGCAGGACTGCCCTCTGGCTCAGATGACCGAGGAGTACATGGAGGTGGCCAGCAGGGGGCTCTTGGCTGAAGGGCTGCGGACCCAGAGTCAAGCCCAGCAGCACACCACGCTTTCTGGGGATGGAGAAGTGGGAATCGCAGCCACTGCACACCTACTGGAGGGGAAGAGCCACAGAGATGCTGCTCTTCAAGGAACACACAGCTCCACAGGTGATGAACGCAACTAAATATTTACAGTTATTGTATTTAAACGCAATATAAGTTGCCATTTTCTTCATATAAAATGTGCTGTGATTAGGGCTGTGATTGAAATATGTTAAATCTGTTAGTCCATTAATGCCTTTATGAAACAAAAGTTGCATTTTTAATTTATAAACATGGTAATTATAGAATATGGTTAATCGCAGGCTAGGAAAACGTGGAAGACATTTAATTTGTGTGAGAGATGCGTATTTGTTAAAAGGATTTCTTACAATGCAACAGATAATAGAAACAACACTTCTCAAAGCTTTGAATCAATTAAAGCAACTGCCTCACAAAATGATTTACAACTACTAAGATTCAGTTTAATATTATCATGTACACACCCATTTTATATTTTTATTTATACCCATTTCTCTTTTTTCTGTTTGTTTTGTGCATGTATATGTTACTCTATACAGGAGTGACCTTGCGCTGTAAAAGTGCAAGTCGGACCAGCAGAAGAGCAAGACGAGTGTCTGCAGGGGTAAATGAGGATGTTTTGGCAACAGACAGCGGGGTATTTGAAGCCTGGAGTAGAAGGTGAGATGCGAATTTACAGTTTACCAGAAATTCAATTCTGTCATCCATTCAATCACTCCTGTCATTCATAAACTGTGTTTTTTCTGTCATTCCATTGACCTGAAGGCCCACTTGCTTTGGAATGTGTCAAAAAAGTTTGTTCATATTTCCTGTACACAAACACAGATTAACATTCAAAAGTTGTTTTATGATATTATTGATTTTATTCTAGGAGGACAAATAGCTTAAAATAAAAGAGATGTCAACATTATTACAATTCGTTTTATAAGAACTGGGACTATAAGAACTATTTTTTTTCTTCATAAAGTTTAACATTAATATTAAATGAATAAACAAAACAAATACATCAATACACTACAAAGTGCAAAACTTAATAGATATTTGTACTAAAATCTAAACAGGCCTACAAACAAATTGCCTTAAAACCTTTTGGTGCAATCTACATAAACAACCTAAAGTGTATAGATGCATAAATGAAAATGCATCTTTTAATAAACAATCTAGTTGTGTACAGTAGTGTACACTCACCAGACACTTTATTAGGTACACCTGACCAACTGCTTGTTAACAAAATTTTCTAGTTAGCCAATCACATGGCAGTAACTCAGTGCATCTGTGCATGTAGACATGGTCAAGACGATCTGCTGTGGTGAAACTGAGCATCAGAATGGGGAAGATATTGGATTTAAGTGACTTTGTACGTGGCATGGTTATTGGCGCCAGATGGTCTGGTCTGAGAATTTCAGAAACTGCTGATCTACTGGCATTTTCACGCACAACCATCTCTAGGGTTTACAGAGAAGGGTCAGAAACAGAGAAAATATCCAGTGAGCGGTAGTTCTGTAGGCACAAATGCCTTGTTCATGCCAGAGACTGCTTCAAGCTTATAGAAAGGCAACAGTAACTCAAATAAGCACTCTTTACAATCGAGATATGCAGAGGAGCATCTTTGAATGCACAACACGTCCAACCTTGAAGCAGATGGGCTACAGCAGCAGAAGACAACACCTGCTGCCACTCCTGTCAGCTAAGAACAGGAAAATAAGGCTACAATTCGCACAGGCTCATCAAAATTTCACAATATAAGATTGAAAAATGTTGCCTGGTCTGATGAGTCTCAATTTCTGCTGCTACATTTGGATGGTTGGGTCAGAATTTGGCATCAACAACAAAGCTTGGATCCATCCTGCCTTGTATCAACAGTTCAGGCTGGTGGTGGTGTAATGGTGTGGGAGATATAGTCCTGGCACTCTTTGGGCCACTTAAGCATCGTGTCAATGCCATAGCCTACCAGAGTATTGTTGCTGACCATGTCCATCCCTTTATAACCACAGTGTACCCATCTTCTGATGGCTAATTCCAGCAAGATAACACGCATTGTCATAAAGCATGAATCATCTCAGACTGGTTTCTTGAACATGACAATGAGTTCACTGAACTTAAATGGCCTCCACAGTCACCAAAGCTCAATCCAATAGAGCACCTTTGGGATGTGTTGGAACGGGAGATTCGCATTATGGATGTGCTGCTGACAAACCTGCAGCAACTGCGTGATGCTATCAGGTCAATATAGACCAAAATCTGTGCGATATTTCCAGTACCTTGTTGAATCAGTGCCATGAAGGATTAAGGCAGTTCTGAAAGCAAAAGGTGGTCCAACCCGGTACTAGTAAGGTGTACCTAATAAAGTGGTCAGTGATTGTGTATGTTCTTTAATTAGGCACATCAAGCTGTGTTGTTATTATTATTATTATTGATCAGATTTTATGTCTTTTTCCAGCAGGACAGAAGAATCGGAAGAAGTCAGTTTTGCTCAGGACGTTACAGTTGCAGTCTCAGAGCCAGTTCATATTCAGATTGGCCTTCTGTAAGCATCACACACTCTCCAAAAAATCTGTATCATTTTTTTTTTACAGCTATTCATTTGTTCATTCATTCATTAATTAGCTGACTCTGGGTGTTTCTTTTACAGATATGATTCAAATAGCAGGTTTTTGCTGCTGCATGTTCTTCAAATGAGAAATTTAAGCAAGGCCAGCATTAGAGATAGATGGAAAGTGTAAGTATACTTATCTTAATATCAAATATTTCACTCATGTTCTTTTAATATTGCAGGTACTTTACACTTTACGCACATTTGTCATTATCTCCATGTTGCTCTCTCTCAGATTTGTGAAGGTTCATGTTCTCCCGATGGACTCCAGTCGGCCCTGCACTTATTATTGCTGTAAGGCACAGGAGCCTCAGTCTCTGCTCAGCTTTAATGAGAGCTTCCGGATCCCACTGAGTGTTGGAGGCCCCGGGGCCCATGCCTTACAGTTCAGCCTCTGCACGCTTGGACCCCTGGCTCAGGAGGAGCTGCTGGTCAGACTAAAATTCACTCTGATTAAAATGAGGATAATGTTATCAATAAGACAATCTGCATTTGTTAGATGTGCTCTGTAAAAAAAAAAATTATTGTGCTCTGCATAAAGAAAAGAGTCTCAGCTTTCCATCGCTGTAAAACGTTACATTCACGTACCTTCGGAGGCTCCGGAATCAGTGTGGTTAAGTCATCACATTTTGACAACGCTGATTTGACAAAGGAATACTCGTGGCTTGTGTCTCCGGACAAACCAGACATGATGCATTGATATTTTGTCCCTCCTCCATGCTCAGATTGGTTCAAACTTGCTCTCTCATAACCAATAAGCATAGGTTTGGCTTTGTGGACCAGCAATCAGCTTTTTGAACAACCCAGAATGAGAAATAGGCTGTACATTTACGCACGTCTAAATAAAATGCAAAAAAAAAAAGTTTTGCATGAAATAATTCTCATACTAAATACTTTTGCATGCACAACAGCACAAAAACATGACAAAACAGTGACCCAGCTAAGACGAAGTGCTGGTCTTGCTGTTTTCAAAGCATGCAAATGACGGTGCGGCTGTTTGTCGGCAACGCAAAAGCTGAGAAGCAGCAGGGTCAACACCAAATCCATGCTGGCACATAAAACCCAAGGATGGTCCATATTGAATCTAGTTTAGTTATGTAACTATTTATTGTATAGTAAATATTTATATCTAAGTTTTTACTCAGGATTTGCACCATGTTTATTTGGACTTTGACGTATTTTTTATAATTTTCTTATTTTTTATTTGTTCATTGTAAGTAGTGTTGTTTATGGTAACTGAAAATATAGTATTTAGCAAAAAGCCAAACTTGCTTCAGTGTTCTGTTATTTTGTAACAATCTTTCTGTTTAGTTCATTCCCAGAACCTTTGGGCAAATACATTGTCAGTAAATAAATGCACTAGTTTTTTAACGCCTTAGAATAACATTGAAATAAATTGCTATAACTTGCTCAGGGAAAGGTGGATGTAGACAAAATTTATTTTGGAAGTATAAAACATCATAGCGTGTGTTTCTAAAGAAAAGAAAACAATCTTCATGAGGTTTTGTTTGTAATAACTAGAAAATGCCCCTTTTTAAAAAACTTCAGCTTAACAACTTTTTTTAAATCTTTTTAAAAAAATTCTGGAATATTTTCTGTCTGTGTTCATATGTTTTTGGACCAAAAAATATTTTAAACTGGACCTTTAAATAATACAGATTGAAGCTTCAGGTTCTCCTGTTTAAAATAATATATGACACTTGAGGCTGACTGCTAAAATAACAATAAAATAGGCATTGTTTGTTTTGTTTTTGTTGTTTGTTTGTTTGTTTGTTTGTTTGTTTGTTGAAGTCTTGGTTGGTTTGATACAACAAGCTTTTTTCCTTTTTTATCAGCATCTCCAGAATTTTGCAAGAAAGGAAACAATTACATAATTTATGCGTAATTTCAAAGCAAAACACAAGAATAGAAGCAAACGATGCCAAATGTTTTGAGAAAAGTGCTAAAAATTTACAATTTTCAGACTCAAATATATTATTAAAAATGTTCTGGAGAGATTTATTAAACTAATAATTGACAAATGTTATTTAACAGGTTTTATGGTAATAGGAAGCCATACAATATTATATTTGTGCATATACATTAGATTAGTCAGTACTGAAGCCAAATCTGGAGCTCATCTAACAAAATAACTTACGATAACGGTCCAAAAACTAGTACACCTGAATTTATATGTTATAGAAAAATATTAAATACAAGTTTTAAAAAGAGGGAAAATCAAGAGAAGCAAAAAAAAAAAAAAAAAAAGAAAATTTTATTGGAATTTTGTAGGTTGTATTTTTATATATTTTTATAATTTCAAAGCAAAACACAAGAATAGAAGCAAACGATGCCAAATGTTTGGTGACTAAAATATATTGCCTACATACACTGAGAAGTGGATCAAAATATTCATTTTCAAAATGGGGTGTACTTAATTATGCTGAGCACTGTATATTCAGAATTGATCTGACAGAATTTGACAAATAGCACTTTTCTTGACATTATTGCATGGTTCTCTATATTACATTATTCTTAATGTCTAAAAATCAATATTTATTTGATTAAAATATAAAACTAGAAGTTTCAAATTAAGTTCTGCACATGGATGTTACAGATGCATGTATTCTTGCACCCCTAATGTTCAAGAAAAGAGTGCAAATTAAAAAAAATGTTGGACCCTTTTAAAGAAATGAGCATTCCAATTTGTTTAAACATTTTGTCTGCAGTAAAACTTTGGTGTTCATGGGATTCTCGTATGCTAACAGTGTGTGTTTGTGATTCAGGGCTCTGCTCAGGTCTCACTGACAGACTGTGTAGGCAGCACAGAGATGCTCTTCCAGTGGCTCAAAGTGCAGATTCACAGCACAGAGAACCACAGGCCTGAGCACAGACGCCTTAGTCAACCCAACCGCATCATGGATGAAGAAGAGGAGAAGAATGAAGGCCAAGGCAAGCTAGAGGTGAGATCTTAACAATGGACAGGTTTCTTCCTCTGTCCAGGGCATTAACAGCTATTACTGCAATAAAGACTTCTATTTCTTAGGTGATCATTATGCTCATTTACCAGATTATTTTTCATATTTTTTGTCTACTAAATAAAATTCACACAGTTTTAATGGTGACATCAGATGCCCATTTTACACAAGTTGATATGATTCTTTAGTGCAGTGGTTCTCAATCTTTTTCACCAAGTACCACCTCAGAAAACAACTGTCTCTCCAAGTACCACTATAATGACCAGGGTTGAAATAAAGTATCGTAGTTGGCCAAATTAAGCAGCTGCTGCACTGCACAGTTCGAAAATGAAGCAGAGTCATATTCATATTTATGCAACTTTTGATACGTTTTTAAATACATGTTGCCTGTGCATATGACATATTTGTAAAACTTTTTGAAATCTAAACATTAACTTGTATGTAGATTGGTAGGGAACCCATTTTTCTCAAAGGATGTCAAGCTGACAAAACATTGCTGCACTCTGATACAAGTTTTAATTATGGACAAAATTAAAAAGCTCTGCAGTGTTTGGGCATTCTGTGTTTGTCTCAAATAATCTAGCGAAATTATAATCCATGCTAAATATGAAGCTGGTCAGTCAGTTCTTGTCACGTGTCTCGCGGTGCGGCATTCTGAATAGTTAAGATGTTTTTAACTGGGCATGCCTGCAATACGCAAGCGTGCCGCGATGAAGTTCTTACTTATTTTGCTAGCCTGTTGGTTAAATTTTGGCACTCAAGTGACCAAGATGTAACAAGAGAATACGCTCATTTTTAAAAGAAACTATTTTTTCAAATAAATTATGATTTAAACTCAGATAATAAATAAATATGAAATAATTCATGATTTTTTTGTGAGGCCCGGTACCAATTGATCTATAGAACGGTGCTGGTCTGTGGCCCGAGGGTTGCTCTAGTGCATATCTGCTCTGCAAGCACCCCGCACCTCCTTCCGTAGTTCTGCGGCAACAGAATTGATTATTAGCAGTTGATGACGCGCTGCACTAAAGTAAACATTCTAAGCACAGCACTTTGATCGCAGGCTTTAGAGAACAGCCAACGCTGACCACATTGGTGTTATCGTACGCATTCATTCATTTTCTTGCGGCTTAGTCCCTTTATTAATCCGGGGTCACCACAGCGGAATGAACCGCCAACTTATCCAGGACGTTTTTATGCAGCGGATGCCCTTCTAGCCGCAACCCATCTCTGGGAAACATCCAAACTTATTCACACACACACACACACACGTACACTACAGACAATTTAGCCTACCCAATTCACCTGTACCACATGTCTTTGGACTGTGGGGGAAACCGGAGCACCCGGAGGAAACCCACGCTAACGCAGGGAGAACAAGCAAACTCCACACAGAAACACCAACTGAGCCAAGGCTCGAACCAGTGACCCAGCGACCTTCTTGCTGTGAGGCGACAGCACTACCTACTGGTCCACTGCTATTTAACGCATCAAATGATTAAAATTGTATTCATTTTTTCTTTCATTATTCAGTGATTCGTCCGCGTACCACTAGAAGTAAGCCCGCGCACCACTAGTGGTACACATACCACAGTTTGAGAACCACTGCTTTAGTGTATTAATGAAAATCTTAATACCCTAATACTCTCAATACCCTAACCAGTTAAAGTCTGTGACTAAACGATACAGAACTCTCATCTTCTGCATCACTGTGCACTGTAGAAAACAATCATTTTGTTTGCTTCATTAAGGATGCTTTCACACTTGTAGATCGATTGTTTTGTTCTGAAACAGGAATTGTTACCATTTATGTTGTTTATTTTTGTTCTTTGTGTGGTTTCACATGGCAAAGTTTCTAAATTGACCAGAATAGTTCAAACAAGTCATGTGCGAATAAACTCTCCTCACATTAGCCAGTTTCAGGGTTTATTTTTCCGAGTCCCACAGATTCCGCTCAGTTGTCATATGTCGTTATTTTAATTTATGTTGATAAGCAATATGACATCATAAGCGAAAAGGTGTTTATTAGAATATATTAGAATTAATTAATCCATTAAAATAATGTTAGCTAGAATTATGCACCATAGGCTTAAAGTATAGAGAAAAAGAACAGATAAACCAAGACTTTAGTCAGATCATGAAACAGATCAATGTTGATCTTTCTTTCGAGGTGTCAGTGCAGAAATGAACAAAAAAATAGACCTAATATAACATATTATATAATATTATTAACATAATATTAATAACATATTATTAAAATATGAAAATGATCAGATAGTCAATTTTCCTAATGAATAAACAGCTCTCACAAAATATTTCAGCATGCTTTTACTTTCATATTCGACATAAAACACACATTTACCGGTAGGAATGACATCCCATTATAGGCCTACATAAAATTCTTTCTTCATATAACCGTATGGCTATTACATATACTTAATACACTGTGATATAGCCTGTTTCGTTAGTTTGTTGAATTGTATTGCTTTCTCACTACAAATCCACTCCAGAGTTCGTTTGAACTGAGCCGAGACCACCTCATTTGGGCTGTCTAGGCCAACTGATTTGGCACGGATGAGAGTGTGATTGCGGGTTTAAAATATGCCAATCAAACCGTGCTAATGAGATAGGTTCCGAAACAAAAATTTAGATCTGAAAGCATCCTCAAACATTATCCAATCTCAATGCTACAAATGTCGTACAAGCTGTAAAAATGACTTGTTTGCTAATGAGGTGGCATGTGACCTCACAGTGCTAGATAGACACGATTCCTGAGTGTAAACGGCATTAAAGGGATGGTTCACCTAAAATTGTCCTCTAATGTACTCACATTTAAGTGATTTTAAACTTGAATTTAAAATCAAGTTTAATGAATTTCTTTCTTTTGTTAAACACACAAAAAGGAATCTGAAAATGTTGCAAACCAGCAGCCATTAACATCCATAGTAGGAACAAAAATTCAGTCCTTGCTGCTTTCCAGCTTATTTTAAAATATCTTCTTTTGTGTTCAAGCAGTTTTGGAACAAGTGGAGGACGACTAATTGACGACATTTTCATTATTGTGTAATAATAAAAGGGTATTAATGAAAATGGTTAAATTTTTTGATGGAACTGTAAATAAACATTTGTTTTACCCTGTCAAAAAAAACTCAGTCCACAGTACAGCTACATCCTTTAAATACCAGAGGTTGTAGAGCAGTCCAGCGAAAAATGTTTTACACACAAGAAAGTGTGTACATTTTTGCCCACTTGTTCTGAGATATTCCCTTCATATGTAAAACTAATCCATTTTGCTGTTGTTTGTCTTGCTGGCTGCAATTGTGTCTTTAATTAAAGGAACAGTTCAATAATTCAAAATATATAGTTTTGAGCCCTGCACATGATGTCCAAAGAATCTGTTTACAAGAGTTATTTCTTTTCATGCTGTACTTAAATTATGGCCACGAATGAAATGCAACACTCACAACCAGTTATTTCACTCACCTAGTTTTTTTATAAGAACAGTTGTTTATCTAAGGCAGGGGTGTCAAAACTAGGTCCTGGAGGCCCAGTGTCCTGCATATTTTAGTTCCAACCCCAATTTAACACACCCGGACCGGCTAATCAAGCTTTTTCTAGGTATACTAGAAACTTCCAGGGAGGTGTGTTGAAGGAAGTTGGAGCTAAACTATGCAGGACACCGGCCCTCCAGGACCCAGTTTGGACACCCCTGATCTAAAGTTTATTAATTGGTTGTGCACAAAAAAGAAGCATCCATAAAGTAACTCAAATGCAGAATACAAGCAACTTCTAATAAAGAAGCAAATATTTATCCAATGACATGCCAGTTTAATGTAAAACACACACACACACACACACACACACACACACAAAATTAATAATGTGGTCAAATCAGAAATTTCCTGAGCACACCAAACATTTGTTGACAGTTCTACAATATTTATACACTAAATGAGAAATCAATTGACTCATTTCTCAAAACAGCTACAAAATGACTGACTTTTCAGTCCAACTTTAACAACATGATATAACAGTATCTTCTCTCTGCTGCTGCTGGTTGTGTAGGTGTCTGTGGTGAGTCATTTGGAGGAGATGAAGAAAGAGTTACAGAGGAGTGAAGAGGAACTGGAGAGGAAAGAAGAGCCGGGAGAGGCAGTTTCTGAAAGGTGCACACTATAAACAAGTTACCTTTTTTGTGTTGTATGTGTGTGTGCTGTAACCACTCTGTGTGTTGTAGGAGTTGGCAGGCTGAATCAGTGGACAGCGGCTGCAGTAACAGTACAGCGTTCGTCATTCCCTGTCCTGAGAGTCTCTGTGGTGAAGGAATCTGCCTGACTTCCGGGAGGCGCTGTCTCCAGCCTGCAGAGAGAAACCCAATTATAAAGGTACAGTGAAGTGTTACTGAAGTCAAAGAAACTGTATGAATTTAAAGGTCATAGTATGTGAAGTCAAAGTTGCCTTAATTTTTTCTTACACTGTCAAACCAAAAATAATGTCTCACATTATAACAGTTTATTTTCTATGGTTAAGAAAGTGGTAATAAAACATCACAAGAACTCAGTGTTTAACTGTGTCAGAACAAATTCATCTTGATAATGTCAGATAACTTTGTAATCCATTACATACAGTACCTTTCTATCAATTATCATAATAATTCAGACACAACTGTTAGTATAATAATATTTACACAACTATCGATATCAATGACGGCCTGTATTTGCTTGATGGTGTCAACCAATGTTAAGCAAAACTAATCTTTAATATTTTTTTTAAATTGTAGTTAAGAAAACTGTCTATTCAACAGTTCCTTTTGTTTCTTTTAGAGTACCATATGAAGCGTCACAGAAGGGCTACACAATTAATCGAAAAAAGATTGCAATCTCGATTCGACTCCCACCACACAATCTTTCAAATCTTTTTATTATTGTTGTTATACAATAATAATAACAACAGTTTTGGAACAAGTGAAGGATAATTAATTAATGACATTTTCATTTTTGGGTGAATGTTGTCCAGTGACTGACACATGCCTACACCGGTAACAAACGTTGCCTAGTATCAAAAGCAAACAGAAGCCATTTTAATCACTGCTTCTGTGTACAGTGGATACCACCTTCAGTTTCTCACTTCATCAGGTGGCTGAGAGATGGAACTTTTGCTTTTACGCATCTGGCATCTGTTATGCATCTGAAGGAAAATGTTATCAGGAACAAGCAGATGGTTTATTTTGAAGCATGTCACGGATCATTTTGGAGGATTACATGCTTTATTTCAGAGCATTTCATTGCAGATAGTTTTGTAAACGAGGCACGGTGTAATGGAGAGATAAATAAATAATTTCATAATGCTTTGTGAATAAAAAATATTTTCAAAAATCACTTGCTGCAGTGCAATACCCTCAAACGTGCACTGATGCAATGACGTTATCCTTTGCTTACAAGCTTTAAAAGTACTCAAAAATTATAGCTGCTTTTCGGTACGGTTACGGTTGTTTCTCCACTGAGCCTGGAACGGCGCGGCATGATTACAAACTGTTCTCGGCCTGGAGTTCTCGGCACGGTTAGACAACCGTGCTGAACTGTGCTGACAGATTCTGTGTGTTGACGTCGCGACTCGGTTGCTAAGCTACCACAGCTGGCTCAGCAAAAGCGCACTAGTCATCAGACATCCTCAATAAACTACAGTACATTTGATATAAAAGATTGATCCAGGTCTAAATGATACAGTTTGAAAAGGGTTTTAAAACCATAGAGCAGTCTCTGGCAGAGAAGTGAATAACTCATCACATTCTTACGAAGATATTTTATTCATTAAAGTTATTATTTTAATTGACTTGAATACAGACCTACTTCGCCTGCCTGAATGTGAGTTTATTGCACGCAGCGCTTTATTTCACAGCACAAAACTCGCTCTGATCCGGGAGAGATATGCCAGCTAATTGCGCTGCTGACTTTTTTTTCCTGCTGCGCATCGAATAAAGCGAATAAAGTCACGCTTTGCATCGTCGATGTCCAAATTCCACAACAACATCACTATATCCATGGAACACGAACTTGCAGCCAGGACAGCTTGTTAATACCGGCGAGACCACCTGAAAGACGGCGTGTTGTAATGTCGGCCGTCCAAAAGACTTTGCTTGAAAGCTTTACGGAGCGGCACTGTAACTGTCCAAGGTACTGTTGTATGATTTATATTATAGCATATGCACTAATAAACAAGTCAAAAGAATGAATGAATTAAATAAATATGGATTCTTAAATGTCAGTATTGCTTTTACTCAAAAAATATCAATACGTTTTGAAAATATTTTATAAAAATAAAATGAGCAATTTTCATCATTTCAGCTATAGGCAATTATATGATTCAGTTATACATAAGTTATATGACATCTATGAGGCATGTAACATGTTTCTGTGTTTTTGTTTTTTTGTGGTGATCTTTAATATAGCTACACAAATATTTTCTAAAACGTCTAGCAATAATTCGCCTCCAGCTTGTTAGTTAATTATGAACACAAAAATAATTATAATAATAAAAATAAAATGATCAAAATAAAAAGATAATAGAGCAGCATTTTGCTAAATATAATAGTGCTTTATATGCTTTAAATCCTGCTATATAAGTGTTGTTTCATATTCGTTTTTTATTTCACTTGCTGCATTCGTTAGTTAATGTTTGAATAGTAAAACTAATAACAGCCATCGCTTAATTGGTTTCATTTTACCATCAAAATGTAGTATATTTTATATCATTATCAACTTTTGATATAAAAACGCAGTGTAATTTAATTAATTGTTAAAAATGAAATAATTTATGTGCTGTGTTTTTATTAGTGAAAGTGCCCGCTCACCTTTGACAAGGCCTGTCCAAAATTATAGGCTATTTCTGCCACTATATTGCAAATGCGCTATTGTTGTCTTATTATTGTTTATTTTTCTGTTATGTTCAGAGATTTTAAATATTATTTATTTCCCCTCCAATTATTTTCAATCATCACGTTACATTTTGGTAATTTTCCCTCCAAATAAAATTTAGCCAGAGCTGCGCAACATATAAATAAATAAGGGTGCACATGTACCTATATTTAGCACCCCTATTTGATAGAGCGGCATAACAGTGTTTAGTCACATGGTTGCTTTTGCTTTTATGAAAAAAAATAAAAAATAGTTTCGGCTCTTATTTAACTTTAATTGAACAAAGGGAGCCATTTACATTGCGTTACCAAGGCAACTACTGATGCGTTTTGTGTAATGTTTTAAAGAGCTTTGTCACAGCACGACAGTGGAAAATGAAACCGTATCTGTGCTGTCTGGCCCGGTTTGGCACGGAATGGAACAGTTCTGTTTAAAGAACGATTCAGCACGATAGTGAAAAATCGTCTAAGGTCTTTTCACAGGGCCAGGATTAGGTGTGAAAGTAGTTTTACAGCATTTATATTTGTTTTTAGTGTGAAATAAGACTTTATCAACATAAAACGTGAATCTCAAGAGGCATATTAAAAAAATACTGTTTAAAAAAACCTATTTCATGATAAATCTTTAAGTCTTTTCTATGACTTTTGGTCAGTGAATGCTTCACAAATCACCTTTGCTTTTGAAAAGAGAAACAAGTTATGAAGTGGATCATGAAACATATTTCACAAATTTGTGTGTGTTTCTTTAAGGTGGACAAGGCGACCAACACAGAAGGTGTGTTTGCTGAGCCGATGCGTATGCGACCGAAGGAAAGGACAGGCCGCTGGGGTCACAGCTCCCCCTTTATGCGCAGCAGCACAATAGTCAGATCTCAGACCTTTTCACCTGGAGCCCGCAGTCAGTACGTCTGTAGGGTGAGTACAAACATACACTTCATACACTGCTGGTTTGTGATGCACCGTATTATCTCTCTTGTTTTTCTGTGTTGTTATTACAGTATAACATTCAGCCAAATATCTTGTCTATTACAAACAGTTCTGCATTTTTATCTAATAAATTAATTTATTTTTACTATTAAAAATGTGATCCTAAATATATGATTAGAATAAAATAAAAAATAATTAATTAAATATATAGTTGGGTAATATAATATAATTTATTTACTGTATTAAGTTAAATGAGTCATCAATTAGACTGTGCAGTAGGTTAGTGTACTTAGAAATATAAATTGAAATGAAAAATATATGTAAGTAAAGTATTAAATGCAAAAAGATCTAGACAAAAGTAATGAATGATAATTTAAAAAGAGAGGTTTTATAAATCACTCAAGCATTAAGTTAAATACTTATTATATATTTATGAATTAAATTTCAGTTTAATTAATAATTTGTCGATTTAACCCAAAAAATAACTTAAAATATTTTTAAGAGCCCTAAAGCACGACCATGTAGTAAAATATTTTTGTTCTTGTGAATAAAAAAGATTAAAAAAATAACTGTAAGAATTGTAAAACTAAATTAATTAATAATAAAGTAAATGCATTATAGTCATTATATAAGTAAATTAAAGGAAATATTATTAGAAATAATTATATTTATATTATTAAATGTATTATTATTATTAGTAGTATTATTATTATAAAGTATTGAAAACTAGTAAATCAAATTAACTATTTACAAAAAAAATTAAGCACTGTTAAAAAGTCGTGAGCTCAAACCAATAAACTATATAATTAAAAAGAAATGAATAAAAACAATTAAAACAACTTTGTGTATTTCACGTTGTTGTAAATCGCTGTAAAATACCCAGTAAAACTGCAGCTTTACATCAGTGTATCAGTCTGTCTTTGTGTTCTCTCTCACAGTTGTACAGAAGTGACAGTGACAGCTCTACTCTACCAAAGAAATCCCCCTTCATCAGAAACACTCTGGAGCGACGGACTCTGCGCTATAAACAGGTTGGAAGGATGCTGTGTGTTTGTGTATTTGTGTTATGTTGTAGATGTGTGCTGACTGTGTGTGTTCCTCCAGCAGTCTCACCGCTCGTCTCTGGCAGAGCAGCCCACTCGCACCTCTCTGGACCTGGAGCTGGACCTCCAGGCCTGCCGGACGCGACAGAGGCAGCTGACAGAGGAGCTGGCAGCTCTGAGGGAACTCAAACTGAGGCTGGAGGAGCCCATGCAGGGCCCCCGTGGCCCAGCTGACCTCCCACACTGGGCCCTACGGGACGAACGCTTCAGAAATCTGCTGCGGGAGGCCCAGAGACAGGTCAAGCACATTTCTCTAGCCACTTCATAAATTCAATGAATTATTCATTTTGCAGTAGATGAATCTAGTGACACTTTGGCTAACAGTAGGGATGTGAAGGAATCCTGTTTTCATAGGAAGAAAATTCTTGGATCATCGTATACTGAATTCTCACTGTATTTTAATAAATCATTAAAAGAGGTTAAAAAGATTGACAAACTTCAGTTTTGTCTTCAATGACAAGGTTTCCTTTTATTCTTTTAACATCACCTTTATATTTAGATAGATAGATAGATAGATAGATAGATAGATAGATAGATAGATAGATAGATAGATAGATAGATAGATAGATAGATAGATAGATAGATAGATAGATAGATAGATAGATAGATAGATAGATAGATAGATAGATAGATGGATAGATAGATGGACGGATTGACAGACATACGGATGGATGGATGGATGGATGGATGGATGGATGGATGGATGGATGGATGGATGGATGGATGGATGGATGGATGGATGGACGGACGGATGGATAGATAGATGGATAGACAGACATGCATACAGATAGACTGATGGATGGATGGATGGATGGATGCACGGACAGATAGATAGATAGATAGATAGAGAGATAGATAGATAGATAGATAGATAGATAGATAGATAGATAGATAGATAGATAGATAGATAGATAGATAGATAGATAGATAGATAGATAGATAGACGGATTGACAGACATACAGATGGATGGAAGGATGAATGGATGGATGGATGGACGGACGGACGGACGGACGGACAGATAGATAGATAGATAGATAGATAGATAGATAGATAGATAGATAGATAGATAGATAGATAGATAGATAGATAGATAGATAGATAGATAGATAGATAGATAGATAGATAGATAGATAGATAGATAGACAGACAGACAGACAGACAGACAGACAGACAGACAGATAGACTGATGGGTGTATGGATGGATCGACGAACGGTATATATATATATAGTGAATTGAAGAATACTAACATATAGGATTTTGGAATTTAATGAATGCCAATCAGAATTGACTATTCCAAGCCATGTATAAAAATAAGAGACTCTGGCTGCAAGTTTTTTTAGAAGTTCTCTTGTATAGAAAGTTACTCAGAGTTGCACACATTTACTCCATTAAAATTTGTTAAAAATAATTTTCAAAATAGTATTTAAAGTATTTTTATTTTTTAAATAACTTTGGATTTGTAACAATGAATTTAAAGATGAATAAAAACATTTTTAATTTAAAAAAATTAAAATTAAATAAAAAATAAAAATTAACTATCTAAAGCCAATTTTCTGTAAAAATAACTGTAAAAATCATTGTAGGGCATGTTCCTTTAAAAGAGTAATTAGTTATAGTTCCTAGTTACTTCTCACAAATAGTTACTGAGTTAGTAACTGAGTTACATAATTCTAAAAGTAACTATTGCATTACTTAAAATATATAAATAATTTGTCAAATGAATAAAATAAATATAAAACATTGTACAGAAATCTACACTGTTTGAATGTTGTTGTGGGCCAATGTGAGAGACAACCATCAAATTCAACATATCACTATGGATATTATAATTACTGTAGTTGCACAATAAAACACAATAGAGGGTTTAGAACTTTAAGTACTTATTGCACAGACCACAACTGTTAAGATTTGAGGTGCTTCATTAGATTAGAATTACTTGTCTGTGTTAATGTCTTTCTTTTGCTTTGTGTCTCGTGTGCAGTCGAAGCAGACGAGGCAGGAGCAAAGGCAGGAGGAGGCTGCTGAGAGGAGGTTGAGAAAGGCTTCAAAAGAGGTCTTACAAATGAGGGGCCAGAGCCACAAAGAGCCCCTTCCTGTGCAGACATTCAAGTGAGTCCAGCAACTGTAAAGTGTTCATCGGTGTGTCTGCTGTTATGGACATCATTTTTACATTTGCTATTTATTAAAAAAGATCTACGACTAAAGCCTGGTTTATACTTCTGCGTCAAGAGACCGGTGTAACCATCGATGCATGCAACGCCCGTAGCTGTGCATTTATACTTCTCTGGCTGTCTCTGTTGGTCTGCATTACACTTCTGAAACGCTAGTTGGCAGTGAGGTGTAAATGTTCCTCTGTGTCGAGTTTCTTCACTGCTGTTTTGCTTTTCCAGAACACTTTCTGGATGTACTAGTGGCTCAAACTTGCTCATTTTAAGGCATGAACCGGCGGACGTGCAACAACTTTAACTGTGAGGTAAACACAAAACAAAACTTTCCATCAGCAGCCCCTTCAAGGAACTCCACACTTAAAAAACAATCGCTCCATTGGGCTTGCGCCCAGCTCGCGCCATTCACGCAGCTCTCGGTCCCACCTAGACTTGTCAGCGCTACCAAGCTGACCAATCACAGAGCTTGCGACGTGTAGTTACATTTTTTGAGAGGTGCACGTCAGTGACGCTGATGGCCACGGCGAAAGGCTATGCGTCAACGCTGTAGCATACGCGTGCGTTTGACGCAGAAGTATAAATCAGCCTTAAATCGTATGTAAAAAACACTACCGAATGGGTTCACGCACAACTTGTACTATAATTTCAAATCCATTGGTTCGTAAAACACAGTTCTTGGTTCTGATTACTTTTGAAAAATGTCAAAGTTGTTCTTAAAGTTATGTCTACTACTGTATTACTCTGCACTGATTGGAGAGGCTTTTGCTTTTTCAATAGTTGCTTAATTTAAGCAATTTTTATGTATCGCGTCTAATTACTTATCTGTCTAATTTTATTTTGATGATGTGGTAAGTAAATTGGCATCATAAGTCATCTGTCAGCTGCCCTGATTTCTATATATCAGTCGAGAAAAAAAAACATACTGGTTAACCTCTGGTGTTTGTAAGACTTAGTTTGTCCACAAGGTTTCAGCACTAAATTAGTCCATTAATTTAGTTATTAAATTACAAAAAAAAACTGCTAAAGTCTGCAAAAATGGTCGACATTAAAATGATGTTTTAAATAAGTACAAAGACAAGAAAGTGTATGAATATTAAAAAAAAACTAAAAACATTTGGGCTTTAATCTGCAGTGAAGCCCTTTTGTCATAGAATGTCTTCTTAACAAATAATTTCTAAATTGGTTCAACAATTATAAGTAATAAATAACATTATTTCTTCACTTTTAGACTTTAGTGCAACAGTAAATATAAGAGAAATCTAAGATAAAAACAAACACCTCAACTTAGAATATCCAGCAGGCAATCCCAAGTTTACATATCTCACAGTTTGCTATGCCAGTATTGTTGTCATTAACTTTATAATACCTCCAGACTGCAGACATACATGCAGTTTCCGCTTCAGGCTGCTGTCATGTCATGTCGCATGTGTTGCTGTTTCTGTGTGAAGTCAAGAAAGACATCCCATATATATATATATATATTAGTAATTGTAATTGTAAAATAGTAATTGTACAAAAAAATAAGTATTTAGATGGCTTGTGGTTAAATTGTCACCACTGAGTACTTGTCAATATTGCAATAAGTGCTTACTAATTATTTAATAGCTACTTTTATATGATATAGGGCAAGTCAATTTTAAAAAGAATAAGCTATAATGTGTTATAATTATTAGTATCTAGTACTAGAATAGAATAGATGCTGACAGCTAAGAACTATGTTCTGGAAGCATGAAATAGATACTAATACATTTTAAGGGTTTGTTTTATTCCTCTTTTGTGATGCAGGGAGAAGATGGCTTTCTTTACAAGACCAAGATTCAACATCCCGCCTCTGCCAGCTGACGACGTGTGAACGCCACACCATCAAATATGAAGAATCTGTCTGTTTTTTGTACTCATGCCCATGAAGTAATTATAGATCAAAAGTGTAGTTATTTCAGCACAAAGATGAAAACTTATTTGATATGCAACTTTTGAAAAACAGAACGCTGTAAAAAAATTAGCGTGTGTATGTGTGATTGTGCGTGTGCGCGTGCATGCGTGCCTATGTGTGTGTGGTTGTGAGTGATGGTGAGTGTGTGCGATAGTACTAATGAACACATACACCTATATTTTATGTAATTATTGACATTTTGGCAAAATGTTTCCTGCTTGATTAAAGTGGGGAATGAGTGTTTTATAAAAGAACAAAGCATCTTTTTACTCCTGTACATTGTACTTCTGATATTTCGATGTCTACGCTTACTTAAGGCTGGAAGACGGGAACAAAGTCAGTTTAGACAAATTCACTGTACTGTAACTTATTTTATAGTACTTTTCCTTGAAGGAAATAAAAAATGCTCCCTGCTTTTAATGTATTTTATAAAGCTTAAAACAAATAGCACTTACTGTAAGTGTTTTTTTTTTTTTTTTTGGACGTACAGTAGAATGGAAATTTTGGCTGATTTTGTTTCTGTTACCTGATTCTTTAAAGTTATTTACTTAAGAATTGTCACTTTTTGATCTTTTGTTGCAGTTGTCATTGTCCCTTGTGCTGTTATTCTATTAAAATTATTAATATTAATTGTTAATCGTACTTCTCAATATGTAGACTAATATCATTTTTATATGCTGTCTGTAAAAAACACCCGCAGTGTTAACTCTCTCTTATGAAGATAAAAGAATTAAACTCTGAAAGTGCAGCTCTTTTAAGAAATTAACTGTCATAAATGCTCATGATTATAATTATTCAGCTATTTCTAGAAAACATACAATAATCAGGGTTCATACAGTCATGAAAAAACTGGAACAGTCATGAAATTTTGACATGGAATTTTTCAGGCCTGGAAAAGTTTTGGAAAAAACAGAAAACCCTACAAGATTTTGAAAAAGTCATGGAAATTACATTTGCATTTAGTCATTTAGCAGAGGTTTTTATCCAAGCGACTTAAGCTTGCAAAATTCTGTCATCGGCGCTGTGAAAAGTGGTGGGGTTAAACGATATGATTAGACCTTATTAAAAGTGAGTGATTGCTCCATATTTTAATTTTCTTATTTTGAATTATCCTCTATTGGTCTCACGCAATTATCAAGCTTAAACATTTGAATGCAGTGAAATGCGAAACTTGTCTCTCGTGCTTGCGTTTCTGGTCTGCCGCATTTGCATGTTTATGAATGGAAGTGTATGGAGCGAAAAGTGCATTGTGATCGCGGCTTTACATTAGAAGTAGTTTTACCTATACCATTTCTAGTTTAGCAAACTATTAACATTATCTATATTTAAACAAATATCTGTATACTGGAATGGAGGTAAGTTGTATTTACTTCTTTTCTTGGCTAAAAACATGGTCTCACATCATTAGTACTGTGTACGCATCTTCTATTTTACATAGACATGAAAATAAATTCAAACTAAAGAGATTATTGCATGTTTTATGACATGCTGTAATAAATTTAAACATTCATTGTTTTTCCTATGATTGATGTGTATATATAGACATTACATGAAACATTAGGTCATGAAAATTGACTTGAAAGTCCTGGAAAAGTCAGAATTTTTCTAGTAAAAATGCGTATGAACCCTGAATAATGTATCGGCTGATTAAAAAAAAAATCACTCTCCGGGGTCTCGTTTATAAATGTGTCGTATGCACAAAATGGGTGAAAATGTGGATACACTACACACAAAAGTTGTGATCTATAAAAAACAAACTTTAAAAAAACAAAGCACCATCATATGAGCCATCATCATACAATTTATAATATTTTTTTATGCAACAACTCATAACATAAGTGAAGGACCATAACATACACGTTGACTTGCTCCTTTTTCACACAAGTGATTGTAAAAGAAATGAAAATCCTGCAGGATTCCTGTAGGCTATTTTTGTAAGGGTTAGAACGCAAAAAATAAAATACAACGCTACAGATGATAAACTAATTCAGCTCTACCCTGAAGAGACATTAGGTATGTTTAATTGTATCTTTTGTTAATTTATCGTGTTTACTGTGAAAATTGATGCTATATGTTTCAACTGACTGAGTGTGTGTACATGCACATTTAAAAATCGTTTCAGTCACTCAGCTCTTACTTTAATTTTTTTCTAAAGAGGAAGAACTGCAGTGAACTTTATTAATAAGTCATTTGTTTATGCAGAGGTTAATATTAATTCCTGGCTGTTTATCCAGTACACTTTGGACAGCCTATAGGAGACCAGTTTGATCAGCTTACTCAGGCTGCTTTTAGCGGTTTTAATTTGCCACTTTCTCTTTTACAATGATGACATTTGCTCCCATTCTTTAACTTCAGGTAAGTGCTGTTAGTGTTTATTGATGTTTTCTATTGATATAAGTAAGTTATCAAGTGTTGTATGTCTACAAAATAACCCGTTCAACAATTGGTTGATGATGGTAAGTTCCCCTCTGAAGGAAAATATAATCGCATCATATATATATATATATATATATATATATATATATATATATATATATATATATATATATATATATATATATATATATATATATATATAAATCTTTAGGTTTGAATTTTATTCATCTTATTTGTCCAGAAGGTGGCGTCACAAACTTGCTCCTGAGTTATTTTGATGGCACTACTGTGTAGAGTTGCTAGATTTATTTTGCACACCGTAATCAACCTTCATTCTTTGCAAAATTCTTACTTTTTTGCTGTGCAAGTGCTTAGAAGTTAAGTTAACTGTTAAATGAATTCTGGTCCACTCTTGTACTTTTCCTGGCTTTAAATAGAATCACAGCAGGCTTCATTAAAAAGCATCAGATGTGGGACATTAATGAGGTGGAAATCTTAACGCTAGAAACAAAAAGACTGTAGTTTGTTTAAAAATAGGACAAAAGTGCTGATCTAATCGTTCTCTGCTCTGGGTATGAAACCTTTCATTAAAGATATTTTCATGGAGAGATTTGATTTTTACTAAAACCACAAAAAAAAAAAAAAAAAAAAAAGATTATTATCAAGCTGGTGTTTTTCCAACAGCACTAAACTGAAATCCGTTTATAAATAAATATTTTAATAAATCTCTCTGTTGATGATTTCGGATGTGTAGATCAGGCAGCATCCAATCATGTTTAAATGGATTCGAATTTGAAAATATTATTACTTCAGAATCACTAGATCATTAAGATTTTATTTATCTAGTGATTCTAAAGTAATATTTAGTTTGCAGTATTGCTGTTTTTCAGTAAAATGTTTTTTGCCATCACAACAATAAGATTAAAATACATTCTAGTAAAAAGTTAATTGTAAATGTTTAAATATTAATGTTTTATGATACTAATGTTTTAGTGTTTTGCATCACAATAAATTAGCAACATAATTCATGTTATTAGCACAACTTTGCACTTAGAATGTTATTAACATGCTAATTCAACAAAGTAGCTCTGTATGCCAATTCATGCTAGTAGCATGTAAGTTTACTTAATTGGCCAACCAAAGTAGCAAAATAGTAATACTTAATATAAACATGTTAGCCATGTTAATTTGTGCTAAAATGTGTTAAGCATGCTAGCAGTTTTTTTAGCCTTCTGGTAAAACATCCAAGAAACATCCCAGCAACCTTTTTTTTCTCCATTTTTAAAAGATGTCTCAGGGTTCATACGGTCCTAGAAAACCTGGAAAAGTCATGGAATATTGACAAGGCATTTTCCAGTCCTTGAAAAATTTTGGAAAAACAAATAAACCCAAAGTGTTTGGAAAAGTTATTACAATTTGTTTAACAAATATCTGTGTACTTGAATGTTTGAGATTTATTGGGTAAATTTTAAATACCACTGCGCTGGCTGTCTCTTCACAACTTGCAGTTTTAGCTTTGCCTCTCTTTCACTCGCTTTCATATAATTCAAGAAACATTTTGTCAATTTGTCATAGTAATTCAAGAAACAAGTGTCGTGTCCAGAAACAATCTCTAATAACTACAGAGGTAAGATATATGGGTCCTAAAGACTAATTTATAATACAATATATCATTTATAACACAAGCCAACACTTCTGAAATATTTTGAAATATGAGATACTTTCTAAAAACTATTTTGCAGATGTAAAACTAAAAATAAGCTTCACAGATTGCCACATATTTGTTAATATGCTGTAATAATTTTGTTTCTTGTTTACCATGTGTACATAGACATTCCATAAAACATGAATATTTACCTCAAAGTTTTCCAAATGTCCTGAAATTTTAATAGTAAAAATGTGTATGATCCCTGATGTCCAAACACTAGCACATTTACCACATGCCTAACATGTTTATAACATAACATTGTTTATTATTTTGGTCAGTCGAGTATGAATTTATATTGTTAAAATCCCAGCAAACAATTCTGTGTTTAATAGACATCTAAACGTAGACAGCTTGGCTAAACAAAGGCTAAATTTGGGCTGTCAGTGAAAATCTAATAGACAATAGGAATAGGCCAAAACTAGACTGGTCATTAAATAAACACAAATGAATGACTCCACATATAAAGTCTCTCTAATCTGTCTATTAGACCTTTACTGACAGCCCCAATCTAGCCTTGTTTTAGCCAAGCTGTCTACGTTTAGATGTCTATTAAACACAAAATAGTTTGCTGGGATTTTAACAACATAAATTTATTGTTTTCGGACCAAAACGTAAGTGTTATCATGCTATTTTACCTTCTCCAGCTTCCCTGAGAAAACATCATCAAAGTTTTCGTAGTTGACAACTTAGCTTTTGCTTTATGTCTGTATAAACATAACAAAAATCTTACCAACCCCACAATTTAAATCTGAGTAAAATCTCATTACAGAACGCTTACTATCTAGTCTTCTTAACTGGTAATGCAGTTGGTAATGTTTAGGGAGTACTTTGTCTTCCATCAATCATGCTCCTCACATTCCACTGTGTTATGAAAGAGTGCAGTGATTTTGGGAAGCCTGCTATGTAAACACTGCTCATACATTTACCTTATAAGCTTATCCATATGTTCAGTGTGCATTTAATTAAGTCTTATGCTCCATCTTTCCTGTCAGTGGAGTGAGTGACAAACAGATTCATGGATTGCACGGAGATTAATGAGTTTCTCAACCACTGGTGCAGAGGGAAATATAGCACAGGTAGGCCTGCCTTTCTCTGTTTCTGCCAATTAAGTAATTTTGTAAAGAAATACCCAAAAGAGATCTGAAAAGTCATGACTTCAATTCAGTCTACGGAAACACACTGCGTCAAATCCCCCTAGTGATGATGTTGCCTCAAAGGATCAATAAATCCAATTAAGAAATGCATATGAATTCTCAGTTTTAATGTAATGAGTTCTTTGTGTTCCTGTCATTTGTATATATTGTCATTTGCCATCTCTTTCCTTTTTGGATTGTTTACCCAAACATGCAAATGTACTCACTATTTACTCACCCTCAAGTGGTTAAAAATATTTGTGAGTTAGACAAGAAGATATTTTAAAGAAAGCTGAAAACCGGTACCCATTGACATCTATAGTATCTATAGGGAAAAACAAATACATGGGAAGTCAATGGTTTCCAGCTTCATAACATATCATCTTTTGTATCCAACAGGGGCAACATGGTAG